TAATACAGAATAATGAAAAATTTGTAAGAATATATAAATTGTTATTATTATTTATATCATTATTATTGTTATTAAATTAGCTACATAGACTAGTTTTATAAATTCATTATATCAATTATTAAAGGTATCTTAGTATAAGTGATATGAATATACTATCTACTAATTTAGTATAAATAGATGGTAGAGCCACCTTAGCTATATCTAGAAAATATTAGAATCTAATTTAAGTTAAATTTATAATAAATATTACATATTAGTAATAGCAAGACTTATATTATTTAATTTGAGAATGTTATTTTCTAAATTAATTCTTAAAAAGGCATTTTTGTTTTTAAGATGAGTGATTTCTGAGATTTGCTTTTTAACAATATTATTTTTAATATTAGAGCTAATTGTATATGTAGTCTCTTTTGTTTTTATGCCATTTTTGTTATATGTCTTGTTAAGAAAATCAGCTTAGTAAGGGAGGAATGTGTCAATATTAAGTATAAATTTAATAGCGAATATATATTTAATAGTAAAGTATAAGTCACAGTTTATTTTAGCTAGTTAACCTACTATAGTTTTGAATTGATTTGAAATTTTAGTAAACATATTTGATTATACTAGTTGACCATTATATTCACAAGTTAATGATAATCATATTTGTAATCTTCTGCTCAAAAGCTATATGTATGAATATTTGCATCAAGGTCTCTTCACCTTTGTTATTAATAGGTATTTTGACTACTTATTTTGATAACTATATAAAGTGATACATTATTTATTTAGAAGGAGAAGAAGATACAATATTTTGTTGAGAAGATTTGATTGAATTTTTTGTTTATTATCATTGATCAATTAGTTATCTTTAAGTAGATTAATATTATTTTGTGGTATTTATTATTAGCTGTAGGTTTTAATTTATTAGTAATTTCAAAACTGTGTTAGTTAATACTTTTGGTAAAGGTTTTGTATTTATTAATCATTAGAATCAATTTTTTTTTTAGCAATTTGTGATGAATGATCAGGAGTTTGATATATAAAATATAATTTGGAATTGGGATCAGTTAAAATAAGCTTTTTTCTATTTAAATAATAAGTTACACTTATCTTTGAAGCTTCTATAGTATTCTTATTTTTAAATAAATATAGCATATTGCAGATTATGATAATTAGTATGTGATTTAAGAATAACTTAAGCAATAGTTTCTATTATATTATTAATCAAAATTAGGTAATGTTTATTAGTATCAAATAGTAAATTAATAAGTTTTAAAAAATTTGTGACTTTTTTAACATCTTCAATTGTCATAGTACAAGGATGAATACAAACTAGATCTTTTAGAATAAAGTAGCTATTTAGTTTATTTAGAGTGATCATATTAGTGTTCTTCTCAAAGTTGATAGTCACTTGTTACCATAAATTTTTAGTAGATATAGTACATTTAGCAAACTTTTCAAAAAAGGAAAAGGTGGATTGTAAGTTTAACTCAATAGTAAAGATTAGAATCTTTATTATCCTGATTAATAATTTAAGAACATATTTAGTGATAGGTTTTGTGGTCAAAGAGAAAATGTGATATTGTTCAAATAAGAAATTTGAAGAATTATTGCATAATTTGCTTTAAGTATGAGGTAATCCAATTCAGATAATTTTTTTTGTTAGGTCATCAGAGTAAGAACGAATTGAAGCATAAATAAAAAATGCATAATGTAATGCAAATAAGTCATATCCTTATTTTGTTTTTCTTTATTTGTTTTAGTTAAATGAAATAATTCAGTGACATAGTAAGCGAAGAAGATAGGAGCCTCTGTTTCTCTTTCAAAGTAAATAACATTTTGTCTTTATTAAGACCATTCTTAGTAACATCAAAGGACTGGTCAATGTTGAGGAAGATATTATTAGAAGTAGAATTAGTTTCTAAAGCTTTCTTTTTGTCAATGATGAGAAGGATTGTGGATTCAACTTTTATGTCTAAGGATGTGTTTTTGTCAGAAGTTTTTTTAAAAGTTGAAGCTTCAGATTATTAGAAGGTCTTAATAAACTGTTTTTTTATTAAGTATTGTTGTTGTTCATTATTTGGTAAAGAAGGACAAGTTTTATTAAACTTGTTGTTATTATTTTTCTGTTTTTCTTTTCAGTCATTTTTGAAAATTAGGATCAGTGAAAAGAGTTTTTTTGTTAATAAAAAATTGGTTATAAATAGCATATAAATAAACTTTTAGTTTCATGTAAATTAAACTAATTTATTTCATTATATATTCCTAAATAGTTAGTGAAATTTTAGAATTCGTTTGAATTTCGTCTATAAGTTTAAAGTCAACTTTGCAAATAATTGGTAAATAATCGTTAATTACAATAAAATAGTCTAAAGTTAAAATTTTATATTACCTTTTTTATATTAATTAATACTTGTATTAATTTATTGATAATCTAAACATTTAACTTTAATATATTAATATAATTTTATCCAAAATTTATAGTTTCGTTAAAATTAAGTTATTTCCTAATGTTAATTTCTCTATAATTATTCAAATCATGTTGATTACTCTATACTTGTACTGTATATATTTTGAATCAAAATATTGAATAGATCTAAAAAGAGGAGGTTCATTATATTATCAATATATTTATCTAATACTTGCATATATACTTCACCAAAAATTGGTTTATAAATAATAAGAACAACTCCTCTTGATGCATATTTTTCAATTAATTTTGCATATAATGGTGGATCTTTTGTACTATTTTCTAGTGATGCACTTTGTATGAAAATCACATATGGTGCAATTGGATGAGATCGTATTTTAAAAAATTCTAAATCAGTTACAAATCTAAAATAAATTTGTTAATATACAAATAAAAAATATTAAAGTAAATATAATAAATATAATTTTGAATATTACTTACTGTTAAAATTTCAAAATCAAAGTGAGTCTATCATCACGAAAAATTTGAGCCAATTCCTTAATTGCATTACTACTATTATCAATTTTTTCTTCTTCTTGATAGAAAGTAGTAATAAAAGGAATGTATTGATTAATCCAAAAAACAAACTTAAACCACAAATTCCATCTAGTTTTAACAGGTAATAGTGGCAAAGTTATACTAATAGTTGAATTCTCATTTTGGTTAAATTAATGGAAGTGATGGATTAACAACTGCATTTAAAGAATCCATCTACATTTACGTGCTGAGAAATAAGTAAAAAAAGCTTTAATTAATAAAAATAATATTATCTAATAATTTAAATTGAGAATAATCTAACAAATTTCCTCCCACTAAATTATAGATATGCGCTAAACATGCATTATGATATATATTTGGGAAAAAAATGGTTTAAATTCTGAAAAGACTTTATCATATAACTTGCATTATCAGAAAATATAAAAAATAACAACTTCATAAGAAATACTGTGTATAGTTGAAGAGTTGTCATAACCAACTGCGAAATAGTAACATTATCGACCTTAATGAGATGTTTTGTTGCAACTAATTTTGTTTGATTCTTAAAAATAAAAAGAATATTAACAGCTGCTCTACCACAGATATCGGTTGTTTCATCAACTGTAATACAAATTCGTTGTCCTACTAACATTATTTTTAATTGATTATTTCAGATTCATAAAATATTGGCAGATATTTTTCTCGAAGCTGATTAGCACAACCATAGATCCGCCTAAAAGAATTTGATTATACATATATAACTAAAATATTATATTTTAATAAATAGAATTTATATTATACTATATTTACAATATTTTAGAATTAAGTCTTTTTAATTATCTGCCTTTTCAAGAGGTATATCTGATATATCTGCAGCAGTTAATGCTTGAACAAGATCCAAATTTAATTGCTCACTTTTAGATAAAGAGAAAATTTGTTTAAATTTTGCGAAGAATTATTTATATTAGTTTGACGACTTGCTTTTGCATTTTGATGTTTTAATGAGATAAGATGATCATTAAGTATAGGTTTATTTCTATTATTTAAGACTATTCGACAAACTCGGCACATTAATGAAGTGCCTTCAACATAAAACTCTCGTTCATATTCCGTTGTTGAATATGGACCTTGTATTCTATTATTTGCGGTAATCATTTTCTTAAATTTTTTAACAAAATTATTGACAATTTTTTTTTGTTTCCATTGAAATATTTGAAATTTATAACCAAAAGTGTTATTTTATAAAGTAAAAATTGTGGTTCGTTAAAACCGTTATTGTCCGTTTACTCCTTTTAATTTTTAATTGTTTATGTAGTATAGCCAATCACATTACCAATAGATTCTGCGGATTCTGCTAAATCAGAAAATCAGCTTTTCTGCGCATCTTACATTCTCGATACTTGGCGCAGTATCGTACTGGTGATAAAAAAAATTAAGCGTTAAATTTTAAAATGAAGCAGACTGGAGAAAATGAATCATAGTGGGTAATTGTGATCGGAAATATTGATTATTTTTCATTTCAATTGCTAACCTTCTGAATTTATGTTGTAGGTTCGAGATTACTTAATCTCAAGAAAGTTCTCGTGTGAAATAATCTTTTACATAGTCTGTGGGGGTGATAGTGTTATAAGGTAGAGAAAAACTCTGTAGATATGTGTGGGAAAATTTATTTAGAAAAAAGTATGGGACGGGAATCTTGTAATTAGAAATATTAGCAATATTAGCAATAGAAACAAATTAGCTATAGAAATTATTCAGGGAGCAAAAGAAATAACTTGATGCTGGGACTCGCATTAAATGGCCTAGGATCCGCGTACTCCCTCTTTGATAGCATCAACCATTTCGCTTGCTTCTCTAGCATTTCCTGATTCGTGACTAAAAAATCATTAATAAATTTTCATCATTTGTATCAAATTTTTTTTCTTTGCAAAAAATCGTTACCATTGGTAACGATCAAAATCATGTGACTTTGAAATAATATCTGAGCGCCAGTCATATAACAAATTCTCCAGTTTTAAGGAAAAAAAAAAATCTCTCTTCACTCCATGTATTCATCCGTTGTAATAAAAAAATGTCTAATATAACTGTTTCTGGAACGGCTGTTAATCTTTGGTGTAGTGAAAATCGTGCTATTTTCAAAATTATTATCGGAGTGAATAACGATCTTTACGACCTTAGAAAAGCTATCTTAGAGGAGCTTCCTAACGCTGAGAATGTAAAAGCCATCCAACTCACTCTATGGAGGGTCAAAGTTGCTTCAAGTGTATTTAGGAATAAGGACATTGACATTGATACTTATTTAAACGATGAATTAGAAGATTCATCGGATACAGTTGGAAATGCATTTCAAAACGTTGAAGGAAGTAATATTCGAGTTGTTGTCGGTGTTCCCGTTACTGGTGAACCATAACAAAATTTTTCGTCTTCTATCATATTTGCCAATAATACCAAATACTTACATAATCTTGTGCTTTCTTTCCCGCTTCTTATCGTCAAACTCGCCCAAAAACACATTCGCGTTATCGTAGAGCAAGTTGATGTTGGTAAGTGAAACGTAATTAATTTGGTCAACGCGAGTGACGCGTAACCTTTTTGATAGCTGTCATGTCTGCTCAAATCTGACTTAAGTTTTTTCCTTGATTTTGGTATGATCTCATTTTTTTTCGCGATAAAGCAGATCCCTCACAGCAAAGCGTTCCACTTGGTATAATATCTGCAGTTAAATAGCTTGAGTATCTAAAAAATCTCTAACAAAGCTTTATATCCATAGAACAAGTATTGAGATTTGCGGATTCTTACTGGGAGGAGTTGAAAGTAAAACTGGCCAAAAATATCGAACTAGAAAATTTTAAAGTTATTAATCACATATATGAAGAAAGAATCAATGCATCCGGAATTCCTGCAATTAATAATAAGCCTTTTTCATTTTGCATTCATTACCGGACTTTCAGGATTTGACAATAATAGCCATGAAGGCTACCTCCATAAAAATATGCTTTCTGCGCTATTTAAAAAGGTTATGGGAAATCCCTGGCTCTTCTTAATGGGCACTTCCGGGTAAGAATAGGAATTATTGCAAGCTGAGATGAAAAAATATGACGAAAGCAAATGAATTCTTTCTTTCTTTTTTTGGTTCTAGATCTGGAAAAACCCGTTGTTTATTTGAGCTACTTTGTAGAACATATGGAATTATCATTAAATGCCGGAAATGGTTCCAAAAACTTGGGATCTCAAGACATGGACATTTCTATCACTGATTTGGGCGAATACTTAACTGCTAACGACCCTGAAAAAAACACACGTACAGCACTCAAATTCACTCGTGCCATGCTTCTTGGCCGATTATTCATTCATAAACAGCGAAATTTTACACCGAAGAATTGGCTTATATTGCAACTCTTGCCAAGGAAATTTGATGGAAATGACTTCTGGGTTACCATTTCACGTGTATTTCGCCAATTATCTTCAGAAGATCAGGATGTTCTTGTCGTTGAATTTATCAAGAAATTCAAAACTTTGATCCCTCAGCAAAAGCAGTTACCAATGCAATTGATGAATCACAAGCAGCCATCATTAAGTATGAAAAGCATTTTCCACAACTCTTCCTGATGCTCCATTACGACCATTCTTTGCTATATTACTTCGGACAGTACTCCAACTCAGTGCAGGGAATTTATGTCTTGTACGATCAGGAACAGGAATGAGTTTTGATGATATCAAACTTAATGCTGAATCTGGTGGTGCCACATTCAGGAATTTTTTCAGTATACATGATGGGTTTTACGAATGTAATTAGATGAGTAAGTTTATTCGGCGATTTTTGCCACTAGATAATGGGCTAATAAAAAGCACCTTCAATATATTTCGGGGTCGCCGACGATTTATAGTCCAGTTTCTGGAACATGCTCTATTAGATACATCTTCAATGTCCCAGAATGATGTGAATAAAAATGTGGAGATTTGGCAACGTAATGGATTTGATTTCATAATTACTACCTTCATGAAATCATGTTTTCCTAATTTACGTAAGAAGAAAGAAGCATGGAATAAAGTGCTGAATATCATGATTCTTAGCTTGTTTTCTCATCATACAAAGTTAGTGAAAGGAGATGGAATTGCAGAAATGGTTCAATATGGATTTCCCAACTTTGCAGTTTCAAAGGTTTATATAATTTAAACACTCTTCAAATAGATGTCATTTCGGTACAAATAGCAGAACCGATTCCCATCTTGGTGTTTAGAGACTATATGAAAAAGACTCCTAATGAATTTGAGGCCAAATTATTAGAAAATCTATGTTCAGTTCATTATAATGCATCATGCGCAGGTTTTCTTTTTGAGCCCTACTTGACTATTTCACTTGCAGAATTATTTAATGAAAAAATTTGTCAAGAGCATGTTCTCTTTACTGGCATGAGGATATTGATAATCTGAAATTACTAGTCTCTTGTAAAACAACTATTCGTAACTTTTGATGACAAAAACTCAACCATACTTTGTTCAAATGGTAATATGAAGAAGGAAAATCTGCCTGGTTTTCTCAAGAATCCCACTACTGCTTTCTTTATGCCGGAAAAATATGGTCCAGATTTGGTGTGCATTGTTAAGTTCCATACTCCAAAATGGTATTGTCGAGATTCCTCTTTTTCTTCAGGCAAAACTAGTGAAAGGCGCAGCTAAAGATCCGCACCATTTATATCCTCATGGAGAAAAACGAACCGGGTCGAAAGAGAGGCTAAGAAAAGAAGTGCTTGATTGCTTAAAATCTAAGTATTGTAAGGCACATGAGCTCTCGTGGATCCGCTTTCTTGCAGTTTTTCATGCTGAAGCTAAAGTGAAAAGCAAATATATTATACATGAGGATTCACGACCAAGAAGATCGGTAGCTTCTAATTTTAATGACCCAAAAGGTATTGAATCTCCATTGCTTAAGTTCCTATTATTTGTCGATATTAATTCAATTCTTTTGGTTTATTAAATTTTTTAGCTAATGAACTAATTATTGTAATCGATTCTTCTAATGCCGAACATTTTTTTACAAGTTTCGGTCATAACATGTTGAAAGAAACGTATAGCAGAAGATAATGATGAGCTGAAGTTGGAGGTAAGGTATCATAAAAGTTTATTGATTAATTGTGGTCTTTCCTTTTGTTAATGGTATTTGTTTCCTCTTTTTAACGAGAAATAAAAAGATTAAAACTAGCAATTAAGTTACAAATAATTTTTTAACACTGTTAAAGGCAGTACAAGTGGTAAATTAATTTTAAGAGATAGTCTTAACTTAGAAAAAATTACGCATGTACGTAGACTTGATAGAAAAAAAATTTTAGTATACCATACAGATACAATGGTTTATCTATACCAATTTAAATAATATAAATAATATATATTATATATCATCCACATTCTGAGATGGAATAAAATTTGAAAAATTAAAGAGAATTAATGACTTTAATCTACGCAAACAATTAATTCAATATTAGAACTTTTCGGAAAAATAGACCTGTCTATACTGCGGATATTACTAGTTCGGAAAATAATATTAGCGATCAAATAATAAAATGGTCGAGAGAGTATTTGCGTAAGGCTAAAAGCATCTATACTTTATTCAAAGGAATAGGAATAGACAAAATTGGGATAATTACATATATAGCTGATGTGATCTCGCGATAGATTGATTGGTGGAGAGCTATTGCGTCGTAGTATTTCTAGAGAGTCGTAAAAATACAATATGGCTAGATAATCTTATGAAAGAATGGAAAGTAAGTTTTCGCACACTCCATATACAGTAATTCTTAGAACTCCGTCATATGAGAGGGTAGATTGATCACCTGAAATGCGCAGTACGATATATGCTATGCGTAGTAATTACGCACTTGGTTTTATTACTTTTATTAGTTGATTCGCATATACATTAGGTTGATGTCATACAATATAATTTTATTCTCAAAAGAAGCGTCCAAAGATATTATTATATTATTTCGTTAAATAACATTTAAACTATTAAGGGTACTGATAGTTTGTATTATCATTAATAGAAATTAATAAATCTACTTGGTTGCAAAAGTAGGGAAATTCGTTGTTGGTATCATCGTCAAAATGTCAATTAATAAATTAGTTTGAACATCAGCAAACAAAAGAAAATTTGGTATCCCGCAAAGAAATAATCAATATACTTATTTACCAAAAATATGGTAAATATCCTCTGTTAAAATGGTTTATTCTACTGAAACTGAAACGTTATGGAAGTTATTTATCAAATTAAGAAAACGCATTTTGGAATCACGTACAAATCGTTAGCAAATGATATCGGTCAATTAGAATTTAATATGACCAGACAAACGTTATCTAATTTTTATTGTCATGTTTCAGTTTCTCAGTGAAGAATAAGAGAAGCTATTTAGGCTTGAATTAACTGTATTATTAAGGGTTATATAACTGACCGTATTTTATAAATTATAAAAAATTTGTGAATAATATTTATTAGGACTTCATCCAGTATAATAGTTAGATTATTCGTTAACATACTGTATAAATATATAATACTTTTTATTTCTTTGGTACGAGAGACAGATTTAAATAATACTTCATTCACATCAACTTACTATACGTCTGATTTTCATTTTTTTTTTTCATATCTTAGTTGTATTGTATATCAGATCTGATTAGTAAATTTTGTAAATTTGTTCTATAACTGAATTTAATAATATATATTAAAAATTACCTTATTTTTAATTTAACGTTCTAAACTATAAATAGTATCATAAATGGGTGTTTGCTTAAGCAAATTGGTTGTGTAAAGCTTGTACTGGCTAGTAAAATCGATTTCGTTTAACATTTAGCGTACCATATTATGGTGTTTTGCTCTTAAGTTCCTAGATAATAGTAGGAAAGGATCTTGGCATCAGCATGGTCTGTAGTATAGAATTATTATTTATTTTTCGAGCTCGCATCACGTGAGTAACTTACAAAAATTTGATATATACCGCAGTAAATGTTATAACTACGACATCGGACATATGATTTATTTCTTTTATTATGCAACTTGAATTATTAATAATAAGCTTCCTCTGATTTACATATCCAAAGGTGCCTCGCGGATTGTGATGTTAAAATGATTTTTGTAAATCTATCTCAGCCCAAAAAGATACGCAGCATATATATTCAAAACAAGAAAAAATCTATTGTCTTTACTTTTGGTCAATACACTATACTCATATGATGCGGTTTACTAAAATAAACAACGTCTCACATTTATTCTAGTTCTCTTCTCTAAACACGAATGAAATAAGTGAACAGAAATAGAGGTGTTTGTAAATACACTTTATAATGTAACTTATTTTATAGAAATGAAAATACTATAACGGGTTGCTTTAGTATCAATTATAATTTTATTAATAAAAATCTTTTTTCTCATGCGAAGTGCCTTATGGCATAGCATTTATGAAAAAAAATATTATTATCATTCATTATTTGAATATGTTGTGTGGATATGAGGTTACAGAAATACACTAATAGATCTGTATTTTGATGCAGATTCTCTTTTCTAATTATACTAGCATTAATGGGTGATTCGTTTTGGGATCCTTAATTGTAGAACTGACTATTAAATGTATAAAAAGGATGTAGATTCATCTTTAGTTTCACCAGTAATAAATCATACTAATAAATCGTAAAAAATTACATAAAACTACCTATAATCTAACATAATTTTTTTCATTTCGCTCTGAAATTATGTCTGCACTCGCAACGCCTTATGGCATATCTTTGAAGACTTCACACTTTTTATTTTTCTTAGCATGTTTCTTAATTTATATCATCAGAAACCAATTCTCCAATAAGGGCAATGACATTTATTAGGTAATGTTTTAGAGTGTGGGGAATTCTTAGATTAACAATTATCACATAATAAAATTATCACGTGATTATCGATCACTGTGGCTTAGCAAATTTATTAACATGCGTCTTTTCAGTTCTCGAAAAAAGTAATCAGAATTACAAAAAGTATAATAAATAAAAACTAGTGATTGAAATTACTTTAAATTTTGCAGATTTGTTGTCAAATATGTAAATATTGTGTATACATAATTTCAGCTATTTATCCTATCTCCATATCCCACAATCATCCTTTAAGTCAAAAAAAAAATATTGTTAAAAATTTAAGCAGTAAAAACCTGAAAACTTTAATACAGCATTTTAACCACAATTTATTTAGATTAAATAGCTATAAAATCAAAGTTCGGACTAGGCTGATTCATTGGAAAGAAAAATTTGAAACTTTATGATTTATTAATTGCTAAGAAAATTAAAATTGAAATTTATTTACTAAAATAACCTTAACCCTTAACAATGGCTAAAAGAACAAAAATTTAAGATTTTAATTCAAACTACAATAGTTATAAAAATTATTATATAAATTATTTAATGTAACTAGTCAGTACATTTTTCAGTACCCACTGGCTAACTGGTGTAATCACCAGATTCGTATAATTGTGGTTGTGTTACATATGAGTTTTTAAATTATTAAATTTTTAAATTATATTTAAATAATTTTGTAATTTAAATAAAAGTAATTTATTTAATGAATTTATTTAATTTTAGCAATTTGTTTTATTTTTTTTTTAATAACTCATTATTTTATTTTTTTTTATATTTGATCATTCATTTATAATATAAATTATATATATTTTAATTTAAATAAATACCATCCTTTTTTTATTAATTTTGTTTAATTGAATTGTATAAGAAGTTGTGAAAATGTATGAAGGTTTGTCTCTGAAATAGTAGCCAAATCTTTGGTATTCTAAAATAACTTCAGGATCAGTCATAAAAGCTGATTTATCAAGATGAGATATCTCAACATTATTTCAAGTAGAGCATCTACTAAGTGTAACATAAACTTGATCAGAAGCAAAGATATTTCTATCTAATGCAAGGGAGACTCTTTGGTAAGGTTAATCCTTAAGTTTTATGAACTGTTAAAGCGAATTAATTCTGTAAGAGAAACTGTGAGCAAGAACAATTATTTTCATTTATATTAAAATAATGAGTTTGTTTGTAGATGTCAATATTAATTATAGAACCTTAAATTGAAAAAGCAATATAAACACATATATTTGCTATATTTACATCTGTAATCACATCTACAGTATTATTACATATACCTTGATTAATTAATGAATTATTAAGATATATAATACAGGCACCTGATTGCAAATATACACTTAAGAGAAAATTTGTTTTATTTTGAATATTTTATCAGATAAATAAGGAGCTCAACTTGCAGAACTAATAAAGTCTGATGCTTGTGAGCTATGAAAATGATTATGTGAAACAAGAAGTTTATTGTAAATCATCCTATTAATTATTTGTGTATTTTCTTTAAAACTTACAATATTAGTAATATTAAGTATATCAATTGTAGGATGAGATAAGAATTCTAAATAGTGTTATTGTAATATATTTTAGTATTTTCTGAAATATTTCCTATATGAATTTCTTTTAACATATTAAAAAATCTTATGACTGCCCATTAATATTGTAAAATCTTTAAAAAAAGAGGATAAAATAAAGTCCAGGTAGCAGCTCAAAATACATGTTGTCTAGTTACAGAAGGAAGTTGAACAAGATCATCAATTACTATAATATTTATACCATTAAAAACAATAGCATTACTATAAAGAGATGCAAAAATATTAAAAATAAAGTCAAATAGTTCTGCAGAAATCATAGAAATCTCATCAATGATAAGAGTATCTATAGTTTTTAAAAAGTTTTTTAATTCTTTATTAGCAAAAACACATGTATAAAAATGGATTATTTTTCCACTTATATTTTAAGCGGCTATTTTAGTTAGAGTTAGTAAAAGAAATTTTGAACATCTTTAATTGAATATGTTAATAATTAAATTAATAATATAAGACTTTCCTGTACCTTTTAATCTTGTAATAAAGAAGTAAGGTCACTTTATTCTATCATTTTTTCCTATATACAAAGAAATAGTTAATAAGATATAGTATTGATCTTATGGTAATTCAAGCATAACTATTTCAGGAAAAATGTGCAGAAGAATTTTCAAGTTTTTC